AACTCCTTATGAGTTATGGAAAGGGTTTATCCCAAATTTAAAATATTTGAAAGTGCAGGAGTGTCTTGCAAAAGTTTTATTGCTCGATCCTAAAAAGAAAAAAATTGGTTCTAAAACTTCTGATTGTATGTTTATTGGGTATGTTGAACAAAGTGTAGCTTATCGCTTTTTAGTTTTAAAAAGTGATATTTTAGACCAAAACACAATTGTTAAGACTAAGGATGCTGAATTTTTTGAACATATTTTTCCTTTGAAAATTGAGCATGTTTCTAAATCTATTGAGAATTTAGAGTTTGAACAAAATTTAAATGAAGATTTGGTTTTAAGGAGAAGTAAAAGGCAACAAAAAGAAACAAGTTTTGGAGATAATTTTTACTCTTATTTAGTACAAGATGAACCGTTAAATTTTTATGAAGCTATTTCTTTTCATGATGCCAAATCTTGGAAAGAAGCAATTGAAATTGAAATTGATTCTTTAAGGAAAAATAAAACTTTGGTTTTAGCAGATTTACCCCAAGGAGCTAAGGCTATTAGGTGTAAATGGATTTTTAAGAAAAAAATATTTTTCAGATGGTTCAATTGATAAATATAAAGTGAGGCTTGTGGCCAAGGGTTTTACTCAAAAAAAAAATATAGATTATTTTGACACATTTTATCTTGTGACTAAAATTTCTTTTATAAGAGTTCTCATTGCTTTGGCTTCAATTTACAAGCTTTTTGTTCACCAAATGAATGTTAAAATCACTTTTTTAAATGGTGATTTAGAAGAAAAAATTTACATGGTACAACCTAATGGATGTGTGATTCCTGGGCAAGAAAATAAAGTTTGTAAACTTGTCAAGTCTTTGTATAGCTTAAAACAAGCGCCTAAATAATGACATGAAAAACTTTAACAAGTTTTGACAACTAGTAGATTTTTTAATATTGAAGTAGAAAGATGTGTTTATATAAAGCTTGTGAATAATGATTGTATGATTATATGCTTGTATGTGGATGACATACTAATTTTTTGCTCTAGTATGTGTGTTGTTAATGAAACAAAAAATTTTCTTTCTTCAAATTTTGATATGAAAGATATGGGTGAAGCCAAGATAATCTTCAGTGCACAAAGCATAAGGAATGAAAATGGGATTTTGCTTTCCCAAGAACATTATATTGAGAAAATTCTCAAAAAGTTTGGATATCTTGAAGATGCTCATTTGAGTACTCCTTATGATTTGAGTGTGCAATTAAAAAAGTAAAAGGGTGACCCAGTTGCTCAATCTGAGTATGCACAGATTATTAGTAGTCTGTTGCATTTAATAAATTTTACTAGACCTGATATAGCTTATGCTATAGGTAGATTGAGCAGATATACTCATTGTCCAAGCAGTAAACACTGAGAGGCTCTAGTGAGAGTCTTGAGATATTTAAAATGTACCATGAATTATGGTATATAGTATAGTGAATTTTCCAATGTATTGGTAGGATATAGTGATGCTAACTGGATTTCGGATTCAAAAGAGACAAAATCTACTAGTGGTTATATATTCACTCTTGGTAGTAGTGCAACAACCTGAAAGTCTGCAAAACAGACAATCAACATAAAATCCTCAAGGGATTTTGAGTTTATTGCCATGGAGCAGGCTGGAATTGAGGCTAAGTGGTTGAAAAACTTCTTAGCGAGCATTCCAATAGGTGAAAAACCTGCACCATCAGTGTCTTTACACTATGATAGCCAGTCTGCAATAGTAACAGCTAAAAATAAGACCTTCAATAGAAAAAGTAGACATATTCGATTGAGACATAATATTATAAGGCAGTTGCTCAAAGATGAGGTCATCTCAATCGATTATGTAAGATCAGAGTTAAATCTAGCGGATCCATTAACTAAGCCCCTGGGGAAGAAATTTATTATTGAAACGTCGAGAGGAATAGCAACCCAACCTTTGTGATTGGAGATCCCATGAAAAGGTTCAATAGGTAAGAACAAGTCACTTGTTATCTCTTCCTATGGCTTGAGAAAGTGCTAGAATGCATTGAACGGAGGATGAGCAAAAGCTCTTAATGTTTTCATAATCCTTATGGATGGTGCATTCATTGTAGATACGCTTGATAAAAACACCCATACAAATGTGGAGTAGGGCCGCTCTTATGAAATCGTGGTAAAATCTCTAGAGCATTTGTTAAAACCAAGCATGCACATAGCTGATAACATGCAAAATTGTCATTAACAGCGAAGACTGTAGGGGTATAATCTAATGAATAAGACCTTTGGCACACACTTAAGATCTGTTTGTTCGATAACGAAGTTACACCGACTTTTTTGTGTGTTAAGTTTATTAGTCTACGTTTGGTTCAAGTCGACAAACACCAAATTCAAAGTGATTATCCTCTGTGTGAATAAGTCAAACAAACATAGATCCTTTTGACATATATAGGGGATTGTTGTGTGTGTGTCAAAAGTGTGTAGGTGTTAAAAGTCCCACATTGACCAAATGAAGGACTCTCTTAGTGTATAAATACTAAGGAATGAAGTGAGCTAGTAAAATGGGCTTGGAGGAGAAGTAGGCTTGCGCATATGAGATGAGCCAACTCAGGGCAACCGTAGTTGAAATCAACCGATTCCCCCCCTGCGCGTGAGTTCAGGAGGCAATGGGTTACTTTTATCCGATTATTTTCACAAAATAATTAAATAAATAATTATTTTTAGCTTAGTTGAAAGACCTCAAATTTTGCTGTTTAAATTTGAATTTGAAGCCTTGGCAGTTTTTTAGATATTAAACCACTTTTGAAAATCAATTTTGTGAGTTAATGTCTTAAATGTGTTTGTCTGCCAACGTTTCCAGATTAATGGTGTTTTATATGTGTGTAACTAAAGCCTTAATCCGGTGATAATGAGCCAATGTTCATGTCTCCATCTTCAGGCTATATATAGCCATGGGTGCAGACAGAGCAAACAACCAGCCTCTTGAGTTTTCAGGCAATTCTCTCCTCCCTCTGCCTTATACTGTCGTGTTCATCTAGGTTTGTTTTTTGTTTCTGCTGTTCTGGTTCCTTGCTCCGTAGGAAGTGCTTGTTTAATCCTGGGGAACTGCCGGTCTGTCCCCCCGGTGTGCCGGAATAATTCTTAAAAACACTGTCCTTCCGAGACGACTCAAGTAACTAGTCGTTTGTCGTTCACGTCTACATTGCCGGTGCCACCAACATTATGTTCAAGGGCCGAATCTAAGCATGGCGACTCAATGGATGGTTGCCCATCCACCCCTCCAAATTGATGAGAGGTAGTAACCATCTGAGCATTGATATGAGTAAGGTGTGGGAACTCGAAGGAGCATAGGTGATTTTCAATCGACATCTCGACAGTCACCAACTCAGCAGATGAACTTCGGTTTGACTCTAGTGAATCATACTTACTGATTTCTTGTTGTGGATCCATCCTTGCCTAGGCCTACTCAATATCAGGGATTTGATAATGCTTTTGAAAATCAAAGAATCCATAACTTTAAGAGCTCAAAGAAGAGTAGACTCCAATCGATTCCAGCTTTCATCCATTGTATTGTGTTGCATAGATGTAGGAGGCGAAGCTCCACTCTCAATGAAAGCACCATTTGTTATGATCATGTTCAGATTTGATGAACGAAAGAATACAGAATAAAACTCAAAGGATGAGTGAAGGAGAACAGTCTCAGGTAAGGGAGAAATGCATCAGAGAGGAAGACGCTCAACAAAATCATTGACACTTCCTAAACTTTAGTATTCATCTTTTATATCTAATCCCTAACCATAATCTAGATCCAGCCCAATACATAAAAGTAATCTCATATAGAGCCCAGCCCATTCATTACAAATAAACATAATTTTTTTTTTAATGGTGGGGAACGGAACAATAAGCCATCATAAGTGATACAGTAAAAGTTTAAATTCTCATGATATAATGAAATAATGTGCCTTTGAATTTATGTTTGTGATTTGACTAACAGTGGAGAACGGAACAAGTGGGACATATGAAGGAGTCGCTGTATTCAACGGTCTCTAAAAGGCAACTTGTATACCACATGTGAGGCGAATAGGCGATGTAATATATAGTACGTTTGCTCCATATTATAACCTTTTTAGTGAAAAGAACATATTTTATAAAACTTTGAATGGAAGCCTAAAAGAGAGGAAATAAATATTTCATCCGCATACGTTATGTGAATTAGTCATTTAGTTTTATATTATTATTGTTAAATTAATACTTTGTGTTCCATGCCGTTAAACATTTTTATTTGGATATTTTTAAGATAATAAATAGTATAGTTAGTTACATGGAAGCTACCTCATTGACTTGAATACTTACAAACATTAAATTTGATTAATTGGCTTTGATGATTTCAAAATTGCATTTTTGAAGAATATACTGAAAAAACAACTATGGTGATGTATTTCAAATATTAAAGGATATTTTTTAAAAAAACTTTCATGACAAGGCTTTGATCTTGAAAGAAAACAATTTCCCAATCAATATAATTTTCACATAGTAAGAAAATTGTGTTTTATAATTAAAAAAATTTAAAATGTAATTATTTTATATTCGTTCCCAAGGTATCTTTGAAGGTTTCCCTGAAATTTTGTCATCAGCTGCAGGTTTAGAGGTTTTCCAAATTCGTGAGATACTTGCTACTTACGAATATCACATCATTGGCAAACTATAATTTTTCTCTGTTGACGTAACATGAAAATCCTGTACAATGTAATTCTGTTTTGATTATGATTTTGTGAATCCTTTTGAATCTTATTTTTGGTGTGAATAATTCCCTGGAATCTTGGTTAGGTCGGCAGGCTGGTTGCCTCAATATTTCTGTTTTGGTCTTTTCTATAAATAAAAAAATTAAATAACATTATTCCCTTCTTTATTTATTTGTAATTTTTGGAAATTAGTTGTTTTTTATTTTCTTATTGAGAATTTATTTGTAATTTTTTGAAACTTTAACCCTAATTTTCCTTGTCCACTAATATTTAAACTAAGAGTCTGTTAATGGAGGGCAGGCAATATTATTGCAATTTTTTTAATACTTAAAGTGTGACATTGCGCCACCTTTGATATTACAATTATCATTGCACCTAAAAAAAGTGAGATAAAAATGCCCTTTTAAATCTAAGAAAAATGCAGAGTAACCAGAAAAAGAATTGATGAAACGAACTGCTTCTTCAACAGTTCCTGCAATCTGCTATAGCACGGTCCCTTCGTGGTTAAATTATTAGCTTCCATGGGAATTTCCACCTGATCCGACTTTCTCATTGCAGAAAATAGTGCGAAACAAGATGTACAATCACAAGAGTAGCAAGAGAAGAAATAAACTTGAAAGAGGTGAAAACAACTCAAGAATTAGAGAATTTTAAAGCTGAGGAACAAGAAGCAATGAAAATGAAATCCCAAAAAAAGATACGCAGGTCTATTATATTGGACTAAATTTTTGAAAATTTTTAAAGTTAAGATTCGTTTCATAATTTCATAAAGAGGTTATATTCTGTTATACCCCAAAATTCAGGTGTGACGTACACAAAATATAGGCACAAAACTCACATCTATTAAGCCTTGATAGGAGAAACTCCTTAGTTAGTACTTTAAATGCCTTAATATGATGACTAGAAATTCTTATTATACTTTTCATATAAACCAGAAATCACGAACTTATAACGAAATTTTGAAAAATAAAAAAACCTCTTCTAAAAATAAGACTTTTAGAAATTTCTACAACAACGATTTACAATATCAAGTCAAATATATAATCTTAGAAGAAAAACAAGGATCCTACCTACAATTTATGTGGAGCACCTAGGGCCACACTTAGACAAAAATACAAAGTTCAAATTCTCATCGAATTGAGACTTGTCTCAAGTAACTCTTCCACTTCAATTCAGTAATAGAACTCCTCAATTAATACCTTGAGATACAAGTTTGGTACATCTGAGGCCAAAAATATTTTTTCTGGTGAATAATATCCCAGATTAAAATTAAAGGAAATACAGCAAAAAATTGTAAATGGAATAAACATGAATTTAACTAAATCAGTTGGGAAAAAATGGCAGGAGTGCATAATTTAAATCAAATAATTTTCATTTAAGCACTTAATCTTAAAGCATTTTTATGTAAGGATAACATGTCAATCAGATTTCACTTTCCAACAACAACATTCATATAAAACAGATAAAAATAGCATAGCTCATTAAAAAAAATTTCAGTCATGAAAATTATCTTGTTTAATAAAATTAGTTTTGAAAATAGTAATTTCAAATATTTTTTAATGGGATTTTATCAGAACAAATAACAAACGTGGACATACAGTTCACGAGGGTAAGTCATCGATAAGCGTAGCTTAAATCCATGAAACAAGCGCAGCCACGAAACCCACGAAACAAGCGTGAGTATGATACTCATGAATATTCATCCCTCCATTTCATGTGTATTGGTCTACGTACAGGGTTAGTACATCCTATAAGCATCTTACTAGCTAAGTGTATCATTGCACCCCAAGAGCTATCGGAATTGTTGGTAGATACCCACATTCTAAATTCAGTCCCTTTAATCAAAATTAAGCAAGCATGGATCTAAACATTCGTTTTAAAATCATTCCTTTCAAAATGTAAGGTTCAGTTATCAACTTCTTTTTCCAACAATTTTTCCATGCACAAATCACTATATTAATAGATTTCAAATCAAATACAAAATTTAAACAATAGAATTATTCTGAATAAATAATCGATTCATTACATATTGGATCCAATAGCATAACATTTTGATAAAATAGAATAATTTCAATAATAAACTAATTGAATAAAAATAGGATAAGTGGAGAGTACAATCTAAATTGTAAAAAAAAAAAAATAGCAAAGTCTTTAAACAAAGTATTGCATAAAGATATTTTAAGAAAAAATTTAAGAAAATTTAATTAGTAAGTTAATTGGGATGTTATTCACTTACTTAATACATTCCTAAATACTTAATTTACTCCTCATTAGTCACTTCTGCTATATGGATCATAATGTCCAAAGTAAAAATATTGTCATTTCTTTCATACACTTTGTAAAACTCACAATATTACCATTACTATTATTATTATTATTATTATTATTATTATAGAATTCTCTAATTACAAATCGCTAATAATTTCATATAAGTCTACACTTAATCTGAGTATCACCCAAACTACTCGTTAATATTCAACAACCCAATGGCACATCCCTGTCCCAAGTCCTTGACATATTCAAAATAACTTTGCATCAATTTCAACTTGCAGGAGGCAACATTGAATTCAATCAATAATGTGTGTGTGTGTGTGTATATTCCAAATAACAATTCATCAAAGAAAATCTCATCATCCCCCTTTCACGTTTCAAGATTCAAGCTGTACATCTCAGCGCATGAATTAATACATTAATACACACACATATATTCAAGAAATATCAATACTTTTCTAAGTTTCAACATAAAGATTGAATAAATTAAGTTCAAATTTTAGTCCTTAACACCACTTACCTAACCATTCAATCAAGATTCTTCAAATCTCTTGTCTAATAATATCTGAACATCTAAATTTAAATTTATTGTGTGCTCGAGTCCAATTCCCCATAAATAAACAGTTTAAAGCTCAAAAGAAATCAAGTCTAAATCTATCTTCTTGTTCGTACAACAGCCAAAAACACAAAAGTGAATTTTATCTAACAAAGATGCGTTTTTAAACTTAAGTTTCAGCTTCCTTAAACCACAATCACTCTCCCATTCACGCACCACCTAGGAACAAGGAAGATGAACCAAATTTTATTCTTTTTAATTATCCTCCGTTTTTTTTTTTTTTCAGAAATCTACGCGATACATACATATCGAACCTAAAGGAGGGAATAGTGATGGAAATCGACCAGCCAACAGAGCAATTAAGGAACAAAGGGAGAGGATTAAACCCTTACCAACGGCAGTGGCGAACAGGGAGAAGATGATTTCGGCAGGATAAAACAGGGGAGAAGGAAAGAGAGCTCACGAACTGATCGACAACCCTTGATGACGACAAATCCAGCTCCTTCGTGAAAGCACTCACCCGCGAGAAGAGGGAACAGAAACATCAATCGGAGCCCCCTCTCTCTCGGCAGACGCAGTAGAAACTAGAAATGGGGATAGAGAGGAAGAGCCTTGCGACCCAAACGTCCAGGAACGGCACGGACGCACTCACGATGACCGGTGAGTGACAGATCAAACGAGGAAGGAGGAAGAAGAGAAGAGGAGGTCGGGCTCTTCTCTCCCTCTGGGTGCAGTGCCGATAACGGAATGGAGATTGGAGGAGGGATAGAATATCTGATGATTTTATTTTTATTTTTTTCTTTTTTAAGTGAGGGGTACTTCTAAAATTTTGCCAACCCAGAGCAAAAATAAAATATCACCTACGGCATTACAAGAGCTCAAAATGTGAACCAAACATCAAGAGAGGTTTCCACAGAGCTACCAACGCGCTCATTAAATTTGTCCGTAAAATGTATACAAATATACTTAAAATTCCTCATCATCAATTAAATTTTCCAAAATTTTTTGGGTTATTACATATTTTATGTTTAGGAACAAATTAATATGAGCAATAAGTGATAATTACAGCAAACCATCTTCTCATTTTATTGGATGATATGGGGTTAAAACGAATAGACAGCTAAGTTTGTCTATGGAACAAAGTTAATTAGAAAATGTTTCTCTTCCTGTGCCCTTCGTATCTTTATAATGACTGCTTTTATTTTTATAATCAGCCCAATCACTTTATTCTTCCTTTTCTTTTGTGAGGCACTTTGCTTTATCTAATCAGATTCATTTCCTTACTTGTTCCTTGATTAATTTCCATTCCTTCCCCCTAAAAGTAAGAGCTAATTAGTTGAAAATTTTACTTCATATTGAGAAAAGGAACAAAGCAAGGAAACAACAAGATATTCAGCCAAAATTCGCTGTTGTTGGCGAAGTGTACTCCTTATGCTATTAAAGGGGAAAAAAAAGGAAACAACAAGCAGAAAATAAGCATTGATTTTTGTTGAGGGGGGAAATTTATTCTAAATTGTATGCATTTTACTTGTAAAAAAATAATCAAGAATTTTTAGCCCTCCTCTTTTATTTTCCAATTTTGGCCCTGTGTATGTGATATTAGATTTGTCCTTGATTAGAATTGGGAAACGGGCAGGTTCGACTCATATGGGCTCGACCCTTATAGTCTTGACCTTTAAGGGCTTGAGTCTTTAAGTTTGATTTTCCTAAAATACCTTATTTTTTAAAGTCATGCTTTTATATAAAAGGCTTAGGGTTAGGCCCGTAAATATATTTTTTAATATTTCATATATTTTTTAAAAAATACAAATTACAATGTTTAAAAATTAAAATAAATAATAGAAATTCTAATTTTAAAATATAAACATATATTTTAAAATTTAAATTCAATTTAAAAATTAAAAATATTTTATTTTTTAAAGGAAAAACAAAGATGGGTCTAAAAGGGCCGCCCGAGCCCAAACCCTTTTTTAGGGCTTATCAAGGCTGGGCTTGAAAGCCTAATTTTCTTAAAAAATGTCATTTTTTCAAGCCCAAACCCTTATAAAAATGGGCTTAAATGGGTAGTCTTTCAAGCCCGGCCTTTATTCCCGACTTTATCCCTAATGAAAACTAAAGAAAACAACCTAGACACAATAGAAACAGATCATTTATTGTTCATATTAATTCACTCTCAAACATAAAATATTTTTTATGAAATCATGCAACTAGTTAATCATACATTTTTTATTGTACGCTTACGCAAATGAATGTTAACTTCAAAAACTTTATAATTATAGATTTGAAAATTTAAATTATTTAGTGATTTCCAAAAAAAAAAATTTATCATGACTGAACAGAAATACTTGCAGTATAAGAAGTTGAAACTTGAATATAACAATAACAAATAATAAAAAAGAAGTAAGTTCTAACTTGTCTTGCTGCATGCAAACAAGCATAAGAATCTCTTCAATCTTCAAGAACAGATAGTAATTTTAGAGCAAAATGTTGTTAAAAGTCTACTATAACTCAAGGAAAAAAACATATGCCAAAAAATTAAGATAAAAAAATCATTTATTCTTGGAAAATAATATCGTTCAAGCATTAGGAATAATATTTAGAATTTTAAAGTTGATAAAAAAATTAAATAGTTAAAATATTTGAATGTGATTCTCCTTCTCACTTTCAAGTTTCAACACACTTTATTTTTATATCCAGTGTCTTCTTCAAGACTCCAACATCAGCATCCTTTATTCTATAACCACTCTCTTTTTTCTTCTGTAAGTTTCTAACTTAGAAATCTGATTGAAACACTTGTTTCGCTTTGTTTCCTGCAGCTAGCTGCTTGATGCAGGCACGAAAAAGGAAAAATAAATTGTAACGCTGTGAGTGTATGGGTTAAAAAAGCAACATAATACAAGGGTATGACAAGGACGTTCACATTATTTAAAAAAAAAAAACCAATCAAAATAATGACCAGGCATTAATAATTCTCATTTTTCATTTAGGTTATGGAAAATAAGTTGGAATTAATTTTGTAAAATACAATTGAATTTAAGAAAATGCATTAAACACTACTACAAAATATGCGATATATGACATTTCTTGTTGGACGATTATAAGCACAACCGTCCAATATACAAAGATGGAATTAAACATTGCATTTTATTATTTTGTTTATTTTAATTCTGATTTTATTTTTTCTGTGATGTTTGTACCCATAAGTATACTTTAAAATCATGATTCCCACAATAATCCAAGCTTCTCCACCTTCTTCACTTCAAAACTCTCCATAGACGTTTAGCAGCTGGTAAATGTCAGACTGGCTCAAAAATTCTCCCCCAAACCCTAAAAACTCTCCGTAGACATTTTGCATAAAATGGCTTGTTGTCATAGCAACTTCCATCTTGCCGAAGGTACATTTTAATGCAAAAATTAGTCTATTTTAATTTTGAGCTTCGAATCTTTTAGCTTTGGGACAACAAATTACACCTCCGTACATGCATAATGTGAGATTTGATAGATATCCATATAGTTACAAAGGATTATGTAATGTTGTTAGGATAGGATATGATTGTGTGAATCCCGCGTGTCTCGCTATCGAGTGTTTCTATTCTCTCTCTCTCTCTCTCTCTCTCATGTACAGATGTATAAATAGACTCACAGTGTAACTATCTTTTTAACCAATGAATTAATTATTTCTGCCATACATAATTAACATGGTATCACAGCATTAGTCTTGATCCAGATTTGCTAATCAACAAAAATGACAGAATCAATTAAGAGCAACGAGGGACCATAGAGCTGCATTGTTGATGCAATGTCTCCGTATTACTTGCATCCGTCAGGTAATCCTGGAAAAATTTAAGTGGGCGAGGTCTTACATGATGGAAACTACGGTGAATGGGTGAGCGACATGAGTAATGCTCTGTTCACTAAAAACAAGTTTGGGTTCATGAACGACTCAATAGAAATACCAAAAGCAAACTCACCTGATCTTGCACAATGGATGCGGTGCAATGCAATGGTAAAAGGTTGGTTGAAAACAGCTATGAGCAAAGATATAAGAAGTAGTGTGAGATATGCAAAGACGGCGCACGAGATATGGAGCGACCTTGAAGAGAGGTTCAAAAAAGGAAGTGCTCTGCGACCATATGAACTTTGACGAGAGATAGCTTTGCTAAGGTAAGAAAACTCTCAGTACCAGCCTTCTATACAAAGCTGAGATTGCTGTGGGATGAAAGAGAAGCAATTTCACCATGGCCAAGGTGCACCTGTGATGGGTGCACATGTAATATTTAGAAAGAACTCTCCTAGAGAAAGGAGAGAGAGCAGCTCTATGATTTTCTTATAGCACTAGATGAGGCTTTTACCACTATTAAAACCCAAATCTTGAGCATGAAGCCACAAGTCAGCTTAGACAATGCGTATCATCTAGTGGCTGAGGATGAAAAGCAGAGACAAATCTCTAATGTGCATAGGGCAGTCCAAGACGTTGTAGCGTTCCAAGTGCAAACATCTATGAGACAGCGAGATGATAGAGCTAGAAGGAGTGGACGAAGGGAGAAACTAAAGTGCAATCATTGCCAAAAGATTGGTCACTCAGAAGATCAGTGTTATGAACTGATCGACTACCCGCCAGATTGGAAGAAAGGACGAGAGAAGAAGGAGAGGCAAAGCTCATGGGGTGGCAAGAGAGGAGGACCAAAAGCAACAATGATAGACACTAATGAAAGTTTGGTACCAAGACTATTAATGAACCAGTACAAAAAGCTTCTACAATGCTTGGGATGTGATTGTGACATAACAAGAAACGTGCAAGCAACCCAGCTAACTACAAACATGGCAAGTAGATCATTTTCTAACAAAATTTGGGTGATCGATTCAGGTGCAACTGATCACATAATTTGTGAAGAAGGGAAGCTAGAAGAAGTAGATCGATGTATTCCTCAAAGACCAGTGAACACACCCGATAGGGGCATTACACTTGTGACGGGTGTTGGTATAACTAGTATGCCAAATGGGCTAAAAATTAGAAAAGTGCTAGAAGTTCCTAATTTTAGCTACAACTTGTTTTCAGTTCCTAGAATAACAGATGAATAAGACTGTGCGGTAACATTTATTAAGAACTTTTGTGTGATACATGACTTACGTACGAGGAACTTGATTGGAGTAGGGAAGCGTTGTGATGGGCTATATTTGTTTGAAGACATGCCAACTGAAAGACACACTATGGCTGTAAGAAGGACAAACAAATTGTAATAACCCCAACAAAATTTAAACTAAATAAATAAATAAATATATATATATATATAGGGTAACTTACTTAAAGTGTATTTATATTAGTTTTTTGGGATAAATATAGCAAGTTAGAGACTTGGTCTAGTGGCAGCTGAGGAAGATTTCATATATCAGGTCCTTAGTTTTAAATTCGGAAGAGTACAAGAGAAGAGTTGAATTTTTTTTATTTTTCTGATCATGCGAAATTACCAAATTGCCATTGGTTTCATCAGATTTTTTTAAACTCTTTTCTTTCTTCTTTCTCGATGGATCTAGACGAGAGAAAGAGCTTTGAGAGCACCAACGTTTGCTCTGCCTCTCAACTGAAGCTACCTTCTTCCTCCTCCATCGAAGCCAGCAACGTCATTCGTGTAGCCGCCGTCGAAGCTCTGCTTATCCATTCACCTCAGCTGTGATTTTTTCCAAGTTCCTGCTGTTTGTCCGCCTCTGCTGCTGATTCAAGAATAAAAAGTTTTTCTTTCTCTTAGCTTCTGGTTCGCGTGGGTATAAAAGATTTGGGTGAGCAAAGATCTCTTCCTTTTGGGTTC